CCACCACCCAGGTCTGGAGAGAGACAGACACATAGTTAACACTACTACTACCACCACCACCCAGGTCTGGAGAGAGACAGACACATAGTTAACACTACTACCACCACCACCACCACCCAGGTCTGGAGAGAGACAGACACATAGTTAACACTACTACTACCACCACCCAGGTCTGGAGAGAGACAGACACATAGTTAACACTACTACTACCACCACCACCCAGGTCTGGAGAGAGACAGACACATAGTTAACACTACTACTACTACTACCATCACCCAGGTCTGGAGAGAGACAGACACATAGTTAACACTACTACTACTACCATCACCCAGGTCTGGAGAGAGACAGACACATAGTTAACACTACTACTACCACCATCACCCAGGTCTGGAGAGAGACAGACACATAGTTAACACTACTACTACTACCACCATCACCCAGGTCTGGAGAGAGACAGACACATAGTTAACACTACTACTACCACCATCACCCAGGTCTGGAGAGAGACAGACACATAGTTAACACTACTACTACTACCATCACCCAGGTCTGGAGAGAGACAGACACATAGTTAACACTACTACTACTACCACCACCCAGGTCTGGAGAGAGACAGACACATAGTTAACACTACTACTACCACCATCACCCAGGTCTGGAGAGAGACAGACACATAGTTAACACTACTACTACTACCACCATCACCCAGGTCTGGAGAGAGACAGACACATAGTTAACACTACTACTACTACCACCACCCAGGTCTGGAGAGAGACAGACACATAGTTAACACTACTACTACCACCACCACCCAGGTCTGGAGAGAGACAGACACATAGTTAACACTACTACCACCACCACCCAGGTCTGGAGAGAGACAGACACATAGTTAACACTACTACCACCACCACCCAGGTATGGAGAGAGGACAGAACATAGTTAACATACTACCACCACCACCCAGGTCTGGAGAGAGACAGGACACATAGTTAACACTACTACTACCACCACCACCACCCAGGTCTGGAGAGAGACAGACACATAGTTAACACTACTACTACTACTACCACCATCACCCAGGTCTGGAGAGAGACAGACACATAGTTAACACTACTACTACCACCACCCAGGTCTGGAGAGAGACAGACACATAGTTAACACTACTACTACTACCATCACCCAGGTCTGGAGAGAGACAGACACATAGTTAACACTACTACTACTACCACCACCCAGGTCTGGAGAGAGACAGACACATAGTTAACACTACTACTACCACCATCACCCAGGTCTGGAGAGAGACAGACACATAGTTAACACTACTACTACTACCACCATCACCCAGGTCTGGAGAGAGACAGACACATAGTTAACACTACTACTACTACCACCACCACCCAGGTCTGGAGAGAGACAGACACATAGTTAACACTACTACCACCACCACCCAGGTCTGGAGAGAGACAGACACATAGTTAACACTACTACCACCACCACCCAGGTCTGGAGAGAGACAGACACATAGTTAACACTACTACCACCACCACCCAGGTCTGGAGAGAGACAGACACATAGTTAACACTACTACTACCACCACCACCACCCAGGTCTGGAGAGAGACAGACACATAGTTAACACTACTACTACTACCACCATCACCCAGGTCTGGAGAGAGACAGACACATAGTTAACACTACTACTACCACCACCACCACCCAGGTCTGGAGAGAGACAGACACATAGTTAACACTACTACTACCACCACCCAGGTCTGGAGAGAGACAGACACATAGTTAACACTACTACTACCACCACCATCACCCAGGTCTGGAGAGAGACAGACACATAGTTAACACTACTACCACCATCACCCAGGTCTGGAGAGAGACAGACACATAGTTAACACTACTACTACTACCACCACCCAGGTCTGGAGAGAGACAGACACATAGTTAACACTACTACTACTACCACCACCACCCAGGTCTGGAGAGAGACAGACACATAGTTAACACTACTACTACTACTACCATCACCCAGGTCTGGAGAGAGACAGACACATAGTTAACACTACTACTACCACCACCACCCAGGTCTGGAGAGAGACAGACACATAGTTAACACTACTACCACCACCACCCAGGTCTGGAGAGAGACAGACACATAGTTAACACTACTACTACCACCACCATCACCCAGGTCTGGAGAGAGACAGACACATAGTTAACACTACTACTACTACCATCACCCAGGTCTGGAGAGAGACAGACACATAGTTAACACTACTACTACCACCACCATCACCCAGGTCTGGAGAGAGACAGACACATAGTTAACACTACTACTACCACCACCATCACCCAGGTCTGGAGAGAGACAGACACATAGTTAACACTACTACTACTACCACCATCACCCAGGTCTGGAGAGAGACAGACACATAGTTAACACTACTACTACCACCATCACCCAGGTCTGGAGAGAGACAGACACATAGTTAACACTACTACTACCACCATCACCCAGGTCTGGAGAGAGACAGACACATAGTTAACACTACTACTACCACCATCACCCAGGTCTGGAGAGAGACAGACACATAGTTAACACTACTACCACCACCACCCAGGTCTGGAGAGAGACAGACACATAGTTAACACTACTACTACTACCACCATCACCCAGGTCTGGAGAGAGACAGACACATAGTTAACACTACTACTACTACCATCACCCAGGTCTGGAGAGAGACAGGACACATAGTTAACACTACTACTACTACCACCATCACCCCAGGTCTGGAGAGAGACAGACACATAGTTAACACTACTACTACTACCATCACCCAGGTCTGGAGAGAGACAGACACATAGTTAACACTACTACTACCACCACCCAGGTCTGGAGAGAGACAGACACATAGTTAACACTACTACTACTACCATCACCCAGGTCTGGAGAGAGACAGACACATAGTTAACACTACTACTACTACCATCACCCAGGTCTGGAGAGAGACAGACACATAGTTAACACTACTACCACCATCACCCAGGTCTGGGAGAGAGACAGACACATAGTTAACACTACTACTACTACCATCACCCAGGTCTGGAGAAAGACAGACACATAGTTAACACTACTACTACTACCACACCCAGGTCTGGAGAGAGACAGACACATAGTTAACACTACTACTACTACCATCACCCAGGTCTGGAGAGAGACAGACACATAGTTAAACAACTACTACTACTACCATCACCCAGGTCTGGAGAGAGACAGACACATAGTTAACACTACTACTACTACCATCACCCAGGTCTGGAGAGAGACAGACACATAGTTAACACTACTACTACTACCATCACCCAGGTCTGGAGAGAGACAGACACATAGTTAACACTACTACTACCATCACCCAGGTCTGGAGAGAGACAGACACATAGTTAACACTACTACTACTACCACCACCCAGGTCTGGAGAGAGACAGACACATAGTTAACACTACTACCACCATCACCCAGGTCTGGAGAGAGACAGACACATAGTTAACACTACTACCACCATCACCCAGGTCTGGAGAGAGACAGACACATAGTTAACACTACTACTACTACCACCATCACCCAGGTCTGGAGAGAGACAGACACATAGTTAACACTACTACTACCACCACCACCACCCAGGTCTGGAGAGAGACAGACACATAGTTAACACTACTACTACTACCATCACCACCACCCAGGTCTGGAGAGAGACAGACACATAGTTAACACTACTACTACTACCACCATCACCCAGGTCTGGAGAGAGACAGACACATAGTTAACACTACTACTACTACCATCACCCAGGTCTGGAGAGAGACAGACACATAGTTAACACTACTACCACCATCACCCAGGTCTGGAGAGAGACAGACACATAGTTAACACTACTACTACTACCACCCAGGTCTGGAGAGAGACAGACACATAGTTAACACTACTACTACCACCACCCAGGTCTGGAGAGAGACAGACACATAGTTAACACTACTACTACCACCATCACCCAGGTCTGGAGAGAGACAGACACATAGTTAACACTACTACCACCATCACCCAGGTCTGGAGAGAGACAGACACATAGTTAACACTACTACCACCCATCACCCAGGTCTGGAGAGAGACAGACACATAGTTAACACTACTACTACCACCACCACCACCCAGGTCTGGAGAGAGACAGACACATAGTTAACACTACTACTACCACCACCACCACCCAGGTCTGGAGAGAGACAGACACATAGTTAACACTACTACTACCACCATCACCCAGGTCTGGAGAGAGACAGACACATAGTTAACACTACTACTACCACCACCACCCAGGTCTGGAGAGAGACAGACACATAGTTAACACTACTACTACTACCATCACCCAGGTCTGGAGAGAGACAGACACATAGTTAACACTACTACTACTACCACCATCACCCAGGTCTGGAGAGAGACAGACACATAGTTAACACTACTACTACTACCACCACCACCCAGGTCTGGAGAGAGACAGACACATAGTTAACACTACTACTACCACCACCATCACCCAGGTCTGGAGAGAGACAGACACATAGTTAACACTACTACCACCATCACCCAGGTCTGGAGAGAGACAGACACATAGTTAACACTACTACTACTACCATCACCCAGGTCTGGAGAGAGACAGACACATAGTTAACACTACTACTACCACCACCACCCAGGTCTGGAGAGAGACAGACACATAGTTAACACTACTACTACCACCATCACCCAGGTCTGGAGAGAGACAGACACATAGTTAACACTACTACTACCACCACCCAGGTCTGGAGAGAGACAGACACATAGTTAACACTACTACTACTACCATCACCCAGGTCTGGAGAGAGACAGACACATAGTTAACACTACTACCACCATCACCCAGGTCTGGAGAGAGACAGACACATAGTTAACACTACTACTACCACCACCACCCAGGTCTGGAGAGAGACAGACACATAGTTAACACTACTACTACTACCATCACCCAGGTCTGGAGAGAGACAGACACATAGTTAACACTACTACTACTACCATCACCCAGGTCTGGAGAGAGGACAGACACATAGTTAACACTACTACTACCACCATCACCCAGGTCTGGAGAGAGACAGACACATAGTTAACACTACTACCACCATCACCCAGGTCTGGAGAGAGACAGACACATAGTTAACACTACTACTACCATCACCCAGGTCTGGAGAGAGACAGACACATAGTTAACACTACTACTACTACCACCATCACCCAGGTCTGGAGAGAGACAGACACATAGTTAACACTACTACTACTACCACCACCACCCAGGTCTGGAGAGAGACAGACACATAGTTAACACTACTACTACTACCATCACCCAGGTCTGGAGAGAGACAGACACATAGTTAACACTACTACTACTACCATCACCCAGGTCTGGAGAGAGACAGACACATAGTTAACACTACTACTACCACCATCACCCAGGTCTGGAGAGAGACAGACACATAGTTAACACTACTACTACCACCACCCAGGTCTGGAGAGAGACAGACACATAGTTAACACTACTACTACTACCATCACCCAGGTCTGGAGAGAGACAGACACATAGTTAACACTACTACTACTACCATCACCCAGGTCTGGAGAGAGACAGACACATAGTTAACACTACTACTACCACCATCACCCAGGTCTGGAGAGAGACAGACACATAGTTAACACTACTACTACCACCACCATCACCCAGGTCTGGAGAGAGACAGACACATAGTTAACACTACTACCACCACCATCACCCAGGTCTGGAGAGAGACAGACACATAGTTAACACTACTACTACCACCATCACCCAGGTCTGGAGAGAGACAGACACATAGTTAACACTACTACCACCACCACCACCCAGGTCTGGAGAGAGACAGACACATAGTTAACACTACTACCACCACCACCACCACCCAGGTCTGGAGAGAGACAGACACATAGTTAACACTACTACTACCACCATCACCCAGGTCTGGAGAGAGACAGACACATAGTTAACACTACTACTACCACCACCCAGGTCTGGAGAGAGACAGACACATAGTTAACACTACTACTACTACCACCATCACCCAGGTCTGGAGAGAGACAGACACATAGTTAACACTACTACTACTACCATCACCCAGGTCTGGAGAGAGACAGACACATAGTTAACACTACTACTACTACCACCACCCAGGTCTGGAGAGAGACAGACACATAGTTAACACTACTACCACCACCATCACCCAGGTCTGGAGAGAGACAGACACATAGTTAACACTACTACTACTACCACCATCACCCAGGTCTGGAGAGAGACAGACACATAGTTAACACTACTACTACCACCATCACCCAGGTCTGGAGAGAGACAGACACATAGTTAACACTACTACTACTACCATCACCCAGGTCTGGAGAGAGACAGACACATAGTTAACACTACTACTACCACCATCACCCAGGTCTGGAGAGAGACAGACACATAGTTAACACTACTACTACCACCACCATCACCCAGGTCTGGAGAGAGACAGACACATAGTTAACACTACTACTACCACCACCACCCAGGTCTAATATACATTGGGGAGAACAAGTATTTGATACACTGCCGATTTTGCAGGTTTTCCTACTTACAAAGCATGTAGAGGTCTGTAATTTTTATCATAGGTACACTTCAACTGTGAGAACACGGAATCTAAAACAAAAATCCAGAAAATCACATTGTATGATTTTTAAGTAATTAATTTGCAATTTATTGCATGACATAAGTATTTGATCACCTACCAACCAGTAAGAATTCCGGCTCTCACAGACCTGTTAGTTTTTCTTTAAGAAGCCCTCCTGTTCTCCACTCATTACCTGTATTAACTGCACCTGTTTGAACTCGTTACCTGTATTAAAGACACCTATCCACACACTCAATCAAACAGACTCCAACCTCTCCACAATGGCCAAGACCAGAGAGCTGTGTAAGGACATCAGGGATAAAATTGTAGACCTGCACAAGGCTGGGATGGGCTACAGGACAATAGGCAAGCAGCTTGGTGAGAAGGCAACAACTGTTGGCGCAATTGAAGAAGTTCAAGATGACGGTCAATCACTCTCGGTCTGGGGCTCCATGCAAGATCTCACCTCGTGGGGCATCAATGATCATGAGGAAGGTGAGGGATCAGCCCAGAACTACACGGCAGGACCTGGTCAATGACCTGAAGAGAGCTGGGACCACAGTCTCAAAGAAAACCATTAGTAACACAATACGCCGTCATGGATTAAAATCCTGCAGCGCACGCAAGGTCCCCCTGCTCAAGCCAGCGCATGTCCAGGCCCGTCTGAAGTTTGCCAATGACCATCTGGATGATCCAGAGGAGGAATGGGAGAAGGTCATGTGGACTGATGAGACAAAAATAGAGCTTTTTGGTCTAAACTCCACTCGCCGTGTTTGGAGGAAGAAGAAGGATGAGTACAACCCCAAGAACACCATCCCAACCGTGAAGCATGGAGGTGGAAACATCATTCTTTGGGGATGCTTTTCTGCAAAGGGGACAGGACGACTGCCAGTGTTAACTGGATGGGGCCATGTATTGCGAGATCTTGGCCAACAACCTCCTTCCCTCAGTAAGAGCATTGAAGATGGGTCATGGCTGGGTCTTCCAGCATGACAACGACCCGAAACACACAGCCAGGGCAACTAAGGAGTGGCTCCGTAAGAAGCATCTCAAGGTCCTGGAGTGGCCTAGCCAGTCTCCAGACCTGAACCCAATAGAACATCTTTGGAGGGAGCTGAAAGTCCGTATTGCCCAGCGACAGCCCCGAAACCTGAAGGATCTGGAGAAGGTCTGTATAGAGGAGTGGGCCAAAATCCCTGCTGCAGTGTGTGCAAACCTGGTCAAGACCTACAGGAAACGTATGATCTCTGTAATTGCAAACAAAGGTTTCTGTACCTACCCGCACCCCGCTGAAGTCCCTACGAACCCACACCACGCTGAAGTCCCTACGTACCAAGCTGAAGTCCCTACGTACCCACACCATGCTGAAGTCCCTACATACCCGCACCACGCTGAAGTCCCTACATACCCGCACCACGCTGAAGTCCCTACGTACCATGCTGAAGTCCCTACGAACCCGCACCACGCTGAAGTCCCTACGTACCATGCTGAAGTCCCTACATACCCGCACCACGCTGAAGTCCCTACGTACCATGCTGAAGTCCCTACGAACCCGCACCACGCTGAAGTCCCTACGCACCAAGCTGAAGTCCCTACGTACCCGCACCACGCTGAAGTCCCTACAAACCCGCACCACGCTGAAGTCCCTACGTACCATGCTGAAGTCCCTACGTACCCGCACCACGCTGAAGTCCCTACGAACCCGCACCACGCTGAAGTCCCTACGTACCATGCTGAAGTCCCTACGTACCCGCACCACGCTGAAGTCCCAACGTACCACGCTGAAGTCCCTACGAACCCGCACCACGCTGAAGTCCCAACGTACCACGCTGAAGTCCCTACGTACCACGCTGAAGTCCCTACGTACCCGCACCACGCTGAAGTCCCTACGTACCACGCTGAAGTCCCTAAGTACCCGCACCACGCTGAAGTCCCTACGTACCATGATGAAGTCCCTACGTACCCGCACCATGCTGAAGTCCCTACGAACCCGCACCACGCTGAAGTCCCAACGTACCACGCTGAAGTCCCTACGAACCCGCACCACGCTGAAGTCCCAACGTACCACGCTGAAGTCCCTACGTACCTGCACCACGCAGAAGTCCCTACGTACCATGCTGAAGTCCCTACGAACCCGCACCAAGCTGAAGTCCCTACGTACCCGCACCACGCTGAAGTCCCTACGTACCCGCACCACGCTGAAGTCCGTACATACCCGCACCACGCTGAAGTCCCTACGAACCCGCACCACGCTGAAGTCCCTACGTACCATGCTGAAGTCCCTACGTACCCGTACCACGCTGAAGTCCCTATGAACCCGTACCATGCTGAAGTCCCTACGTACCACGCTGAAGTCCCTACGAACCCGCACCACGCTGAGTTCCCAACGTACCACGCTGAAGTCCCTACGTACCCGTACCACGCTGAAGTCCCTACTTACCCGTACCACGCTGAAGTCCCTACCTACCACGCTGAAGCCCCTATGAACCCGTACCATGCTGAAGTCCCTACGAACCCGCACCACGCTGAAGTCCCTACGTACCACGCTGAAGTCCCTACGAACCCGCACCACGCTGAAGTCCCAACGTACCACACTGAAGTCCCTACGAACCTGCACCACGCAGAAGTCCCTACTTACCATGCTGAAGTCCCTACGAACCCACACCACGCTGAAGTCCCTACGCACCAAGCTGAAGTCCCTACGTACCCACACCACGCTGAAGTCCCTACGAACCCGCACCACGCAGAAGTCCCTACGTACCCGCACCACGCTGAAGTCCCTACGTACGAAGCTGAAGTCCCTACGTACCAAGCTGAATTCCCTACGTACCCGCATCACGCTGAAAGCCCTACGTACCACGCTGAAGTCCCTACGAACCCGCACCACGCTGAAGCCCCTACGTACCACGCTGAAGTCCCTACGAACCCGCATCACGCTGAAGTCCCTACGTACCCGCACCACACTGAAGTCCTAACATACCACGCTGAAGTCCCTAGGTACCCGCACCACGCTGAAGTCCCCATGAACCTGCACCACGCTGAAGCCCCTATGTACCACGCTGAAGTCCCTACCTACCCGCACCCCGCTGAAGTCCCTACGAACCCACACCATGCTGAAGTCCCTACGTACCAAGCTGAAGTCCCTACGTACCCACACCACGCTGAAGTCCCTACATACCCGCACCACGCTGAAGTCCCTACATACCCGCACCACGCTGAAGTCCCTACGTACCATGCTGAAGTCCCTACGAACCCGCACCACGCTGAAGTCCCTACGTACCATGCTGAAGTCCCTACATACCCGCACCACGCTGAAGTCCCTACGTACCATGCTGAAGTCCCTACGAACCCGCACCACGCTGAAGTCCCTACGCACCAAGCTGAAGTCCCTACGTACCCGCACCACGCTGAAGTCCCTACAAACCCGCACCACGCTGAAGTCCCTACGTACCATGCTGAAGTCCCTACGTACCCGCACCACGCTGAAGTCCCTACGAACCCGCACCACGCTGAAGTCCCTACGTACCATGCTGAAGTCCCTACGTACCCGCACCACGCTGAAGTCCCAACGTACCACGCTGAAGTCCCTACGAACCCGCACCACGCTGAAGTCCCAACGTACCACGCTGAAGTCCCTACGTACCACGCTGAAGTCCCTACGTACCCGCACCACGCTGAAGTCCCTACGTACCACGCTGAAGTCCCTAAGTACCCGCACCACGCTGAAGTCCCTACGTACCATGCTGAAGTCCCTACGTACCCGCACCATGCTGAAGTCCCTACGAACCCGCACCACGCTGAAGTCCCTACGTACCATGCTGAAGTCCCTACGTACCCGCACCACGCTGAAGTCCCAACGTACCACGCTGAAGTCCCTACGAACCCGCACCACGCTGAAGTCCCAACGTACCACGCTGAAGTCCCTACGTACCTGCACCACGCAGAAGTCCCTACGTACCATGCTGAAGTCCCTACGAACCCGCACCAAGCTGAAGTCCCTACGTACCCGCACCACGCTGAAGTCCCTACGTAGCCGCACCACGCTGAAGTCCGTACATACCCGCACCACGCTGAAGTCCCTACGAACCCGCACCACGCTGAAGTCCCTACGTACCATGCTGAAGTCCCTACGTACCCATACCACGCTGAAGTCCCTATGAACCCGTACCATGCTGAAGTCCCTACGTACCACGCTGAAGTCCCTACGAACCCGCACCACGCTGAGTTCCCAACGTACCACGCTGAAGTCCCTACGTACCCGTACCACGCTGAAGTCCCTACTTACCCGTACCACGCTGAAGTCCCTACCTACCACGCTGAAGTCCCTATGAACCCGTACCATGCTGAAGTCCCTACGAACCCGCACCACGCTGAAGTCCCTACGTACCACGCTGAAGTCCCTACGAACCCGCACCACGCTGAAGTCCCAACGTACCACACTGAAGTCCCTACGAACCTGCACCACGCAGAAGTCCCTACTTACCATGCTGAAGTCCCTACGAACCCACACCACGCTGAAGTCCCTACGCACCAAGCTGAAGTCCCTACGTACCCACACCACGCTGAAGTCCCTACGAACCCGCACCACGCAGAAGTCCCTACGTACCCGCACCACGCTGAAGTCCCTACGTACGAAGCTGAAGTCCCTACGTACCAAGCTGAATTCCCTACGTACCCGCATCACGCTGAAAGCCCTACGTACCACGCTGAAGTCCCTACGAACCCGCACCACGCTGAAGCCCCTACGTACCACGCTGAAGTCCCTACGAACCCGCATCACGCTGAAGTCCCTACGTACCCGCACCACACTGAAGTCCTAACATACCACGCTGAAGTCCCTAGGTACCCGCACCACGCTGAAGTCCCCATGAACCTGCACCACGCTGAAGCCCCTACGTACCACGCTGAAGTCCCTACCTACCCGCACCCCGCTGAAGTCCCTACGAACCCACACCATGCTGAAGTCCCTACGTACCAAGCTGAAGTCCCTACATACCCGCACCACGCTGAAGTCCCTACGTACCCGCACCACGCTGAAGTCCCTACGAACCCGCACCACGCTGAAGTCCCTACATACCCGCACCACGCTGAAGTCCCTACGAACCCGCACCACGCTGAAGTCCCTACGTACCATGCTAAAGTCCCTACGTACCCGTACCACGCTGAAGTCCCTACGTACCACGCTGAAGTCCCTACGTACCACGCTGAAGTCCCTACGTACCACGCTGAAGTCCCTACATACCCGCACCATGCTGACGTCCCTACGTACCACACTGAAGTCCCTACAAACCCGCACCACGCTGAAATCCCTACGAACCCGCACCACGCTGAAGTCCCTACGAACCCACACCACGCTGAAGTCCCTACGTACCCGCACCACGCTGAAGTCCCTACGTACCACGCTGAAGTCCCTAAGTACCCGCACCACGCTGAAGTCCCTACGTACCACGCTGAAGTCCCTACTTACCCGCACCACGCTGAAGTCCCTACGTACCCGCACCACGCTGAAGTCCCTACGTACCACGCTGAAGTCCCTACGTACCAAGCTGAAGTCCCTACGTACCAAGCTGAAGTCCCTACGTACCAAGCTGAAGTCCCTACGTACCACGCTGAAGTCCCTACGTACAACGCTGAAGTCCCTACATACCACGCTGAAGTCCCTACGTACCCGCACCACGCTGAAGTCCCTACGTACGAAGCTGAAGTCCCTACGTACCAAGCTGAATTCCCTACGTACCCGCATCACGCTGAAAGCCCTACGTACCACGCTGAAGTCCCTACGAACCCGCACCACGCTGAAGCCCCTACGTACCACGCTGAAGTCCCTACGAACCCGCATCACGCTGAAGTCCCTACGTACCCGCACCACACTGAAGTCCTAACATACCACGCTGAAGTCCCTAGGTACCCGCACCACGCTGAAGTCCCCATGAACCTGCACCACGCTGAAGCCTCTACGTACCACGCTGAAGTCCCTACCTACCCGCACCCCGCTGAAGTCCCTACGAACCCACACCATGCTGAGGTCCCTACGTACCAAGCTGAAGTCCCTACATACCCGCACCACGCTGAAGTCCCTACGTACCCGCACCACGCTGAAGTCCCTACGAACCCGCACCACGCTGAAGTCCCTACATACCCGCACCACGCTGAAGTCCCTACGAACCCGCACCACGCTGAAGTCCCTACGTACCATGCTAAAGTCCCTACGTACCCGTACCACGCTGAAGTCCCTACGTACCACGCTGAAGTCCCTACGTACCACGCTGAAGTCCCTACATACCCGCACCATGCTGACGTCCCTACGTACCACGCTGAAGTCCCTACAAACCCGCACCACGCTGAAATCCCTACGAACCCGCACCACGCTGAAGTCCCTACGAACCCACACCACGCTGAAGTCCCTACGTACCCGCACCACGCTGAAGTCCCTACGTACCACGCTGAAGTCCCTAAGTACCCGCACCACGCTGAAGTCCCTACGTACCACGCTGAAGTCCCTACGTACCCGCACCACGCTGAAGTCCCTACGTACCCACACCACGCTGAAGTCCCTACGTACCACGCTGAAGTCCCTACGTACCAAGCTGAAGTCCCTACGTACCAAGCTGAAGTCCCTACGTACCAAGCTGAAGTCCCTACGTACCAAGCTGAAGTCCCTACGTACCACGCTGAAGTCCCTACGTACAACGCTGAAGTCCCTACATACCACGCTGAAGTCCCTACATACCATGGTGAAGTCCCTACGTACCACGCTGAAGTCCCTACGTACCCGCACCACGCTGAAGTCCCTACGTACCACGCTGAAGTCCCTACGTACCCGCACCACGCTGAAGTCCCTACGTACCCGCACCCCGCTGATGTCCCTACGAACCCACACCACGCTGAAGTCCCTACGTACCAAGCTGAATTCCCTACGTACACGCACCACGCTGAATCCCTACGTACCCGCACCATGCTGAAGCCCCTACGTACCACGCTGAAGTCCCTACGTACCCACACCACGCTGAAGTCCCTACGTACCAAGCTGAAGTCCCTACGTACCAAGCTGAAGTCCCTATGTACCACGCTGAAGTCCCTACGTACCACGCTGAAGTCCCTACGTACCACGCTGAAGTCCCTACATACCATGCTGAAGTCCCTACGTACCACGCTGAAGTCCCTACGTACCCGCACCACGCTGAAGTCCCTACGTACCCACACCACGCTGAAGTCCCTACGTACCCGCACCACGCTGAAGTCCCTAAGTACCCGCACCACGCTGAAGTCCCTTCGTACCCGCACCACGCTGATGTCCCTACGTACCACGCTGAAGTCCCTACCTACCCGCACCCCGCTGAAGTCCCTACCTACCCGCACCCCGCTGAAGTCCCTACGAAGCCACACCATGCTGAAGTCCCTACGTACCAAGCTGAAGTCCCTACATACCCGCACCACGCTGAAGTCCCTACATACCCGCACCACGCTGAAGTCCCTACGAACCCGCACCACGCTGAAGTCCCTACGTACCATGCTAAAGTCCCTACGTACCCGTACCACGCTGAAGTCCCTACGTACCACGCTGAAGTCCCTACGTACAACGCTGAAGTCCCTACGTACCACGCTGAAGTCCCTACGTACCACGCTGAAGTCCCTACATACCCGCACCATGCTGACGTCCCTACGTACCACGCCGAAGTCCCTACAAACCCGCACCACGCTGAAATCCCTACGAACCCGCACCACGCTGAAGTCCCTACGAACCCACACCACGCTGAAGTCCCTACGTACCCGCACCACGCTGAAGTCCCTACGTACCACGCTGAAGTCCCTAAGTACCCGCACCACGCTGAAGTCCCTACGTACCACGCTGAAGTCCCTACGTACCCGCACCACGCTGAAGTCCCTACGTACCCGCACCACGCTGAAGTCCCTACGTACCACGCTGAAGTCCCTACGTACCACGCTGAAGTCCCTACATACCATGCTGAAGTCCCTACGTACCACGCTGAAGTCCCTACGTACCCGCACCACGCTGAAGTCCCTACGTACCACGCTGAAGTCCCTACGTACCCGCACCACGCTGAAGTCCCTACGTACCCGCACCACGCTGAAGTCCCTACGTACCACGCTGAAGTCCCTACGTACCCGCATCACGCTGAAGTCCCTACGTACCACGCTGAAGTCCCTACCTACCCGCACCCCGCTGAAGTCCCTACGAACCCACACCATGCTGAAGTCCCTACGCACCAAGCTGAAGTCCCTACATACCCGCACCACGCTGAAGTCCCTACGTACCCACACCACGCTGAAGTCCCTACGTACCCGCACCACGCTGAAGTCCCTACGTACCACGCTGAAGTCCCTACGTACCCGCATCACGCTGAAGTCCCTACGTACCACGCTGAAGTCCCTACCTACCCGCACCCCCGCTGAAGTCCCTACGAACCCACACCATGCTGAAGTCCCTACGTACCAAGCTGAAGTCCCTACATACCCGCACCACGCTGAAGTCCCTACGTACCCACACCACGCTGAAGTCCCTACGTACCCGCACCACGCTGAAGTCCCTAAGTACCCGCACCACGCTGAAGTCCCTACGTACCACGCTGAAGTCCCTACCTACCCGCACCCCGCTGAAGTCCCTACGTACCACGCTGAAGTCCCTACCTACCCGCACCCCGCTGAAGTCCCTACGAACCCACACCATGCTGAAGTCCCTACGTACCAAGCTGAAGTCCCTACATACCCGCACCACGCTGAAGTCCCTACATACCCGCACCACGCTGAAGTCCCTACGTACCATGCTAAAGTCCCTACATACCCGTACCACGCTGAAGTCCCTACGTACCACGCTGAAGTCCCTACGTACAACGCTGAAGTCCCTACGTACCACGCTGAAGTCCCTACGTACCACGCTGAAGTCCCTACATACCCGCACCATGCTGAAGTCGCTACGTACCAAGCTGAAGTCCCTACGTACCACGCTGAAGTCCCTACGTACCACGCTGAAGTCCCTACGTACCCGCACCACGCTGAAGTCCCTACGTACCACGCTGAAGTCCCTACGTACCCGCACCACGCTGAAGTCCCTACGTACCACGCTGAAGTCCCTACGTACCCGCACCACGCTGAAGTCCCTACGTACCACGCTGAAGTCCCTACGTACCCGCACCATGCTGAAGTCCCTACGTACCCGCACCACGCTGAAGTCCAGTTTGGTCTCCTGAGAACACTGAAGGATCAGCTGGAAGCAGCTCTTGCTCTGATTGGTCATCCCGTTGTCATAGTAGCTCTCCAGGACTCGCTGTTGCTCCAGTGTGAACACAGACCGCAGGTTCATCTGACAGAGACATGTTATTGGTCAATAAACTAGCCAATGAAAACAACATTGAGTTCACTAGCTCTTCCCTTCAACCACAAATGTGCTTCTAGTCTATACCCAGTCTGTATGTAGACCTTTATACACAGTGGACAAAACATCGACATAGACTGACCAGGTGAAAGCTATGATCCCTTATTGATGTCACTTGTTAAATCCACTTCAATCAGTGTAGATGAAGGGGAGGAGACAGGTTAAGGAAGACATGGAACACCTTCCTAATAGAGTTAAACCCCCTTTCTCCTTCAGAACAGCCTCAATTTCTGGGGCATGGACTCCACAAGGTGTCGAAAGCGTTCCACAGGGATGCTGGCCCATGTTGACTCCAATGCTTCCCACAGTTGTGTCAAGTTGGCTGGATGTCCTTTGGGTGTTAGACCATTCTTGATACACACAGGAAACTGTTTAGCGTGAAAAACCCAGCAGTGTTGCAGTTCTTGACACAAACCGGTGCGCCTGGCACCTACTACCATAACCCATTCAAAGGCACTTAAATATTTTGTCTTGCCCATTCACCCTTTGAATGGCACACATACACAATCCATGTCTCAATTGTCTCAAGGCTTAAAAATCCTTCCTTAACCTGTCTCCTCCCCTTCATCTACACTGATTTAAGTGGATTTAACAGGTGAAATCAATAAGGGATCATAGCTTTCACCTGGATTCACCTGGTCAGTCTGTTATGGAAAGAGCAGGTGTTCCTAATGTTTTTTATACTCAGTGTATATAATAGGTATATTAGAATATAAAGGCTAACTCATAGTCCAGGTGGTCTGGTTTCTCTACCCACAGTCTTTATGTATCCATACAGTATATAATAGGTATATTAGAAAATAAAGGCTAACTCATAGTCCATGTGGTCTGGTTTCTCTACCCACAGTCTTTATGTATCCATACAGTATATAATAGGTATATTAGAATATAAAGGCTAACTCATAGTCCAGGTGGTCTGGTTTCTCTACCCACCGTCTGCAGGCCTTGTTTATCCTGCCATGCCTCCATACTGCTCTGCAGGGGTGCAGATCAACCATACAGCAGGGCCAGGCTGGGGTGAGGTCTAGGCAGTAGGGCCAGGCAGCAGGGCCAGGCAGTAGGGCCAGGCAGCAGGGCCAGGCTGGGGTGAGATCTAGGCAGTAGGGCCAGGCAGCAGGGCCAGGCAGCAGGGCCAGGCTGGGGTGAGGTCTAGGCAGTAGGGCCAGGCAGTAGGGCCAGGCTGGGGTGAGGTCTAGGCAGTAGGGCCAGGCAGCAGGGCCAGGCTGGGGTGAGATCTAGGCAGTAGGGCCAGGCAGCAGGGCCAGGCAGCAGGGCCAGGCTGGGGTGAGGTCTAGGCAGTAGGGCCAGGCAGTAGGGCCAGGCAGTAGGGCCAGGCAGCAGGGCCAGGCAGCAGGGCCAGGCTGGGGTGAGGTCTAGGCAGTAGGGCCAGGCAGCAGGGCCAGGCTGGGGTGAGATCTAGGCAGTAGGGCCAGGCAGTAGGGCCAGGCAGCAGGGCCAGGCAGCAGGGCCAGGCAGCAGGGCCAGGCTGGGGTGAGGTCTAGGCAGTAGGGCCAGGCAGCAGGGCCAGGCTGTGGTGAGGTCTAGGCAGTAGGGCCAGGCAGCAGGGCCAGGCTGGGGTGAGATCTAGGCAGTAGGGCCAGGCAGCAGGGCCAGGCTGGGGTGAGGTCTAGGCAGTAGGGCCAGGCAGCAGATACTCTCTGTCCGACTGTCCGGGGGTTATGGTGGTCTGGCTGCAGTACTGGTCATGCTAGCTCGGTCTCCTGGTGTGGTGTCTTTGTCTCTCTGAGGTTCTGCAAGACAAGAGAGTGTATCAATGGAAACTTTATTAATCAGAACATCTCTTTGCAGCTTTTCCATAATTGACTGCTTTATATGTTTATATTTAGAGTTGTCATATCATTTTTATAACGTCACACTTCTTCTATGGTGGTGTGTTTTAATCATGGAGAATGATAGAGGACTCTTCTTTGTATCTGTCCCATTGTGGCGTCTGTGAGAGCATGGGCAGCACCATTAAGGTCATCTCCATTTTGGTACATGTTCTGCTCCTACTACTTCTATCAGTTGGCAAACAAACTGAAAGGGTGCACACTGCCACCTAGAGTATTTTGTTTGAACAGGTATGAAACCAAGGTTGGCATTTTACTGCCACCTGCAGTTATGGAATGTTTGCTCACCACTATAATTAATTGGCTGATCCCTCCTGATGACCTGGATGGAATCATGTGATCCTTCTTTAACCCATAGGAAGTCCCACCCAGTTGACTACTTCAAAATGGTGAAGGTCCTCAATGGCGCTGCCCATGCTAAAACTGGCTTTTGGGCACTAGTGGTCTCTATCTATCTCTATGGGTTTAATAGACCGGAAGAGAGCTGTCACATGATCTCACCTGGTCACATGACATGAAGTTGGACAGGTAACACACCTGTGGACGTTTCATACACTCAGATTATAAAACCATAGTATTAGAGTAGACCTGGATCAGAGCTAGCTAGTTGAGTGGGACCTGGATCAGAGCTAGCTAGTTGAGTGGGACCTGGATCAGAGCTAGCTAGTTGAGTGGGACCTGGATCAGAGCTAGCTAGTTGAATGGGACCTGGATCAGAGCTAGCTAGTTGAGTGGGACCTGGATCAGAGCTAGCTAGTTGAGTGGGACCTGGATCAGAGCTAGCTAGTTGAGTGGGACCTGGATCAGAGCTAGCTAGTTGAGTGGGACCTGGATCAGAGCTAGCTAGTTGAGTGGGACCTGGATCAGAGCTAGCTAGTTGAGTGGGACCTGGATCAGAGCTAGCTAGTTGAATGGGACCTGGATCGAGCTAGCTAGTTGAGTGGGACCTGGATCAGAACTAGCTAGTTGAGTGGGACCTGGATCAGAGCTAGCTAGTTTGAGGGGGACCTGGATCAAAAGCTAGCTAGTTGAGTGGGACCTGGATCGAGCTAGCTAGTTGAGTGGGACCTGGATCAGAGCTAGCTAGTTGAGTGGGACCTGGATCAGAGCTAGCTAGTTGAGTGGGACCTGGATCAGAGCTAGCTAGTTGAGTGGGACCTGGATCAGAGACTAGCTAGTTGAGTGGGACCTGGATCAAAAGCTAGCTAGTTGAAGTGGGCCCTGGATCAGAGCTAGCTAGTTGAGTGGACCTGGATCAGAGCTAGCTAGTTGAGTGGGACCTGGATCAGAGCTAGCTATTGAGTGGGACCTGGATCAGAGCTAGCTAGTTGAGTGGGACCTGGATCAGAGCTAGCTAGTTGAGTGGGACCTGGATCAGAGCTAGCTAGTTGAGTGGGACCTGGATCAGAGCTAGCTAGTTGAGTGGGACCTGGATCAGAGCTAGCTAGTTGAGTGGGACCTGGATCAGAGCTAGCTAATTGAATGGGACCTGGATCAGAGCTAGCTAGTTGAGTGGGACCTGGATCAGAGCTAGCTAGTTGAGTGGGACCTGGATCAGAGCTAGCTAGTTGAGTGGGACCTGGATCAGAGCTAGCTAGTTGAGTGGGACCTGGATCAGAACTAGCTAGTTGAGTGGGACCTGGATCAGAGCTAGCTAGTTGAGTGGGACCTGGATCAAGCTAGCTAGTTGAGTGGGACCTGGATCAGAGCTAGCTAGTTGAGTGGGACCTGGATCAGAGCTAGCTAGTTGAGTGGGACCTGGATCAGAGCTAGCTAGTTGAGTGGGACCTGGATCAAGCTAGCTAGTTGAGTGGGACCTGGATCAGAGCTAGCTATTTGGGGTGGGGGAGTGGGACCTGGATCAGAGCTAGCTAGTTGAGTGGGACCTGGATCAGAGCTAGCAAAGTTGAGTGGGACCTGGATCAGAGCTAGCTAGTTGATGGGACCTGGATCAGAGCTAGCTAGTTGAGTGGGACCTGGATCAGAGCTAGCTAGTTGAGTGGGACCTGGATCAGAGCTAGCTAGTTGAATGGGACCTGGATAAAGAGCTAGCTATTGAATGGGACCTGGATCAGAGCTAGCTAGTTAGTGGGACCTGGATCAGAGCTAGCTAGTTGAGTGGGACCTGGATCAGAGCTAGCTAGTTGAGTGGGACCTGGATCAGAGCTAGCTATTGAAGGGAAACCTGGATCAGAGCTAGCTAGTTGAGTGGGACCTGGATCAGAGCTAGCTAGTTGATTGGGACCTGGATCAGAGCTAGCTAGTTGAATGGGACCTGGATCAAAAGCTAGCTAGTTGAGTGGACCTGGATCAGAGCTAGCTAGTTGAGTGGGACCTGGATCAGAGCTAGCTAGTTGAGTGGGACCTGGATCAGAGCTAGCTAGTGAAGTGGGACCTGGATCAGAGCTAGCTAGTTGAGTGGACCTGGATCAGAGCTAGCTAGTTGAGTGGGACCTGGATCAGAGCTAGCTAGTTGAGTGGGACCTGGATCAGAGCTAGCTAGTTGAATGGGACCTGGATCAGAGCTAGCTAGTTGAGTGGGACCCTGGATCAGAGCTAGCTAGTTGAGTGGGACCTGGATCAGAGCTAGCTAGTTGAGTGGACCTGGATCAGAGCTAGCTAGTTGAGGGGACCTGGATCAAGCTAGCTAGTTGAAGTGGGACCTGGATCAAGCTAGCTAGTTGAATGGGACCTGGATCAGAGCTAGCTAGTTGAATGGATCAGAGTAGCTGTTGAGTGGGACCTGGATCAGAGCTAGCTAGTTGAGTGGGACCTGGATCAGAGCTAGCTAGTTGAGTGGGACCGGGATCAGAGGCTAGCTAGTTGAGTGGGACCTGGATCAGAGCTAGATGTTGAGTGGGGACTGGATCAGAGCGTAGCTAGTTGAATGGGACCTGGATCAGAGCTAGCTAGTTGAATGGGACCTGGATCAGAGCTAGCTAGTTGAGTGGGACCTGGATCAAGAGCTAGCTAGTTGAGTGGGACCGGATCAGAGCTAGCTAGTTGAGGGGACCTGGATCAGAGCTAGCTATTGAGTGGGACCTGGATCAGAGCTAGCTAGTTGAGTGGGACCTGGATCAGAGCTAGCTAGTTGAATGGGACCATGGATCAGAGCTAGCCTAGCTGAGTGGGGACTGGATCAGAGCTAGACTAGTTGAGTGGGACCTGGATCAGAGCTAGCAGTTGAGTGGGACCTGGATCAGAGCTAGCTAGTTGAGTGGGACCTGGATCAGAGTAGCTAGGTTGAAGTGGGACCTGGATAAGAGCTAGCTAGTTGAGTGGGACCTGGATCAGAGCAAAGCTAGTTTGAGTGGGACCTGGATCAGAGCTAGCTAGTTGAATGGGACCTGGATCAGAGCTAGCTAGTTGAGTGGGACCTGGATCAGAGCTAACTAGTTGAGTGGGACCTGGATCAGAGCTAGCTAGTTGAGTGGGACCTGGATCAAAGCTAACTAGTCTTGAGTGGGACCTGGATCAGAGCTAGCTAGTTGAGTGGGACCTGGATCAGAGCTAGCTAGTTGAGTGGGACCTGGATCAGAGCTAGCTAGTGAATGGGACCTGGATCAGAGCTAGCTAGTGAGTGGACCTGGATCAGAGCTAACTAGCTTGAGTGGGACTGGATCAGACTAGCTAGTTGAGTGGGACCTGGATCAGAGCTAGCTAGTTGAGTGGGACCTGGATCAGAGTTAGCTAGTTAAAGTGGGACCTGGATCAGAGCTAGCTAGTTAAAGTGGGACCTGGATCAGAGCAAAGCTAGTGAGTGGGACCTGGATCAGAGCTAGCTAGTTGAGTGGGACCTGGATCAGAGCTAGCTAGTTGAGTGGGACCTGGATCAGAGCTAGCTAGTTGAGTGGGGACCTGGATCAAAGCTAGCTAGTTGAGTGGGACCTGGATCAAAGCTAGCTAGTTGAGTGGGACCTGGATCAGAGCTAGCTAGTTGAATGGGTACCTGGATCAGAGCTAGCTAGTTGAATGGGACCTGGATCAGAGCTAGCTAGTTGAGTGGGCACCTGGATCAGAGCTAGCTAGCTGAGTGGGACCTGGATCAGAGCTAGCTAGTTGAGTGGACCTGGATCGAAGCTAGCTAGTTGAGTGGGACCTGGATCAGAGCTAGCTAGTTGATGGGACCGGATCAGAGCTAGCTAGTTGAATGGGACCTGGATCAGAGCTAGCTAGTTGAGTGGGACCTGGATCAGAGCTAACTAGCTGATGGGACCTGGATCAGAGTAATAGCTGAGTGGGACCTGGATCAGAGCTAGCTAGTGAGTGGGACCTGGATCAGAGTTAACTAGCTGAGTGGGACCTGGATCAAAGCTAGCTAGTTGAGTGGGACCTGGATCAAGCTAGCTAGTTGATGGGACCTGGATCAGAGCTAGCTATTTTGAATGGGACCTGATCAGAGCTATAGTTGAATGGGACCTGGATCAGAGTAACTAGTTGAATGGGACCTGGATCGAGCTAGCTAGTTGAGTGGGACCTGGATCAGAGCTACTAGTGAGTGGGACCTGGATCAGAGCTAGCTAGTTGATGGGACCTGGATCAGAGCTAGCTAGTTGAATGGGACCTGGATCAGAGTAGCTAGTTGAAGGGGACCTGGATCAGAGCTAACTAGTTGAGTGGGACCTGGATCAGAGCTAACTAGCTGAGTGGGACCTGGATCAGAGCTAGCTAGTTGAATGGGACCTGGATCAGAGCTAACTAGCTGAGTGGGACCTGGATCAGAGCTAACTAGCTGAGTGGGACCTGGATCAGAGCTAGCTAGTTGAGTGGGACCTGGATCAGAGCTAGCTAGTTGAATGGGACCTGGATCAGAGCTAGCTAGTTGAATGGGACCTGGATCAGAGCTAATAGCTGAGTGGGACCTGGATCAGAGCTAACTAGCTGAGTGGGACCTGGATCAGAGCTTAGCTAGTTGGATGGGACCTGGATCAGAGCTAGCTAGTTGAATGGGGACCTGGGATCAGAGCTAGCGGGACCTGATCAGAGCTAGTAGTTGAATGGGACCTGGATCAGAGCTAGCTAGTTGAATGGGACCTGGATCAGAGCTAGCTAGTTGAGTGGGACCTGGATCAGAGCTAACTAGTTGAAGTGGGACCCTGGATCAGAGCTAGCTAGTTGAATGGGACCCTGGATCAGAGCTAGCTAGTTTGAATGGGACCTGGATCAGAGCTAGCTAGTTGAGTGGGCCCTGGATCAGAGCTAGCTAGTTGAGTGGGGACCTGGATCAGAGCTAGCTAGTTGAATGGGACCTGGATCAGAGTTAGCTAGTTGAATGGGACCTGGATCAGAGCTAACTAGCTGAGTGGGACTGATCAAGAGCTAACTAGTGAGTGGGACCTGGATCAGAGCTAGCTAGTTGAGTGGGACCTGGATCAGAGCTAGCTGTTGGAATGGGACCTGGATCAGAGCTAGCTAGTTGAATGGGACCTGGATCAGAGCTAGCTAGTTTGATGGGACCCTGGATCAGAGCTAGCTAGTTGAGTGGGACCTGGATCAGAGCTAGCTAGTTGAATGGGACCTGGATCAGAGCTAGCTAGTTGAATGGGGACCCTGGATCAGAGCTAGCTAGTTGAGTGGGACCTGGATCAGAGCTAGCTAGTGAAGTGGGACCTGGATCAGAGCTAGCTAGTTGAGTGGGACCTGGGATCAGAGCTAGCTAGTTGATGGGACCTGGATCAGAGCTAGCTAGTTGAATGGGACCTGGATCAGAGCTAGCTAGTTGAGTGGGACCTGGATCAGAGCTAGCTAGTTGAGTGGGACCTGGATCAGAGCTAGCTAATTGAATGGGACCTGGATCAGAGCTAGCTAGTTGATGGACCTGGATCAGAGCTAGCAAATTGAATGGGACCTGGATCAGAGCTAGCTAGTTGAGTGGGACCTGGATCAGAGCTAGCTAGTTGAGTGGGACCTGGATCAGAGCTAGCTAGTTGAGTGGGACCTGGATCAGAGCTAGCAAAGTTGAGTGGGACCTGGATCAGAGCTAGCTAGTTGAGTGGGACCTGGATCAGAGCTAGCTAGTTGATGGGACCTGGATCAGAGCTAGCTAGTTAAAGTGGGACCTGGATCAGAACTAGCTAGTTGAATGGGCCCTTGATCAGAGCTAGCTAGTTGAGTGAGACCTGGATCAGAGCTAGCTAGTTGAGTGGGACCTGGATCAGAGCTAGCTAGTTGAGTGGGACCTGGATCAGAGCTAGCTAGTTGAGTGGGACCTGGATCAGAGCTAGCTAGTTGAGTGGGACCTGGATCAGAGCTAGCTAGTTGAATGGGACCTGGATCAGAGCTAGCTAGTTGAGTGGGACCTGGATCAGAGCTAGCTAGTTGAGTGGGACCTGGATCAGAGCTAGCTAGTTGAGTGGGACCTGGATCAGAGCTAGCTAGTTGAGTGGGACCTGGATCAGAGCTAGCTAGTTGAGTGGGGACCTGGATCAGAGGCATAGCTAGTTGAGTGAGACCTGGATCAGAGCTAGCTAGTTGAGTGGGACCTGGATCAGAGCTAGCTAGTTGAGTGGGGACCCTGGATCAGAGCTAGCTAGTTGAGTGGGACCTGGATCAGAGCTAGCTAGTTTGAAGTGGGACCTGGATCAGAGCTAGCTAGTTGAATGGGACCTGGATCAGAGCTAGCTAGTTTGAATGGGACCTGGATCAGAGCTAGCTAGTTGAGTGGGACCTGGATCAGAGCTAGGGACCGGATAGAGGGTTGAGTGGGACCTGGATCAGAGAGCTAGCTAATTTGAATGGGGACCTGGATCAGAGCTAGCTAGTTGAGTGGGACCTGGATCAGAGCTAGCTAGTTGAGTTGGGACCTGGATCCAGAGCTAGCTAGTTGAATGGGACCTGGATCAGAGCTAGCTGTTGGAGTGGGACTGGATCAGAGATAGCTAGTTGGTGGGACCTGGATCAGAGCTAGACTAGTTGAGTGGGACCTGGATCAGAGCTAGCTAGTTGAGTGGGACCTGGATCAGAGCTAGCTAGTTGAGTGGGACCTGGATCAGAGCTAGCTAGTTGAATGGGACCTGGATCAGAGCTAGCTAGTTGAGTGGAACCTGGATCAGAGCTAGCTAGTTGAGGGGGACCTGGATCAGAGCTAGCTAGTTGAGTGGGACCTGGATCAGAGCTAGCTAGTTGAGGGGGACCTGGATCAAAGCTAGCTAGTTGAGTGGGACCTGGATCAGAGCTAGCAATTGAATGGGACCTGGATCAGAGCTAGCTAGTTGATGGGACCTGGATCAGAGCTAGCTAGTTGAGTGGGACCTGGATCAGAGCTAGTTTTGAGTGGAACTGGATCAGAGCTAGTAGTTGAGTGGGACCTGGATCAGAGCTAGCTAGTTGTACGGCGAGCGAATGAGGACCTGGATCAGAGTTAGCTAGTTGAAGGGGACTGGATCAGAGCTAGCTAGTTGAGTGGGACCTGGATCAGAGCTAACTAGCTGAATGGGACCTGGATCAGAGCTAGCTAGTTGAGTGGGACCTGGATCAGAGCAAAGCTAGTTGAGTGGGACCTGGATCAGAGCTAGCTCGTTGAGTGGGACCTGGATCAAAGCTAGCTAGTTGAGTGGGACCTGGATCAGAGCTAGCTAGTTGAGTGGGACCTGGATCAGAGCTAGCTAGTTGAATGGGACCTGGATCAGAGCTAGCTAGCTTGAGTGGTGACTGGATCAGAGCTAGCTAGCTTGAGTGGGACCTGGATCAGAGCTAGACTAGTTGAGTGGGACCTGGATCAGAGCTAGCTAGTTGAGTGGGACCTGGATCAGAGCTAGCTAGTTGAGTGGGACCTGGATCAGAGCTAGCTAGTTGAGTGGGACCTGGATCAGAGCTAGCTAGTTGAGTGGGACCTGGATCAGAGCTAGATAGTTGAGTGGGACCTGGATCAGAGCTAACTAGTGAGTGGGACCTGGATCAGAGCTAGCTAGTTGAGTGGGACCTGGATCAGAGCTAGCTAGTTGAGTGGGACCTGGATCAGAGCTAGCTAGTTGAGTGGGACCTGGATCAGAGCTAACTAGCTGAGTTGGGACCTGGATCAGAGCTAGCTAGTTGAGTGGGACCTGGATCAGAGCTAGCTAGTTGAATGGGACCTGGATCAGAGCTAGCTAGTTGAGTGGGACCTGGATCAGAGCTAGCTAGTTGAATGGGACCTGGATCAGAGCTAGCTAGTTGAATGGGACCTGGATCAGAGCTAGCTAGTTGAATGGGACCTGGATCAGAGTTAGCTAGTTGAATGGGACCTGGATCAGAGCTAACTAGCTGAGTGGGACCTGGATCAGAGCTAACTAGCTGAGTGGGACCTGTCCAATCCTTCTTTGGTAGCATGTGAGATCTGAAGGATGTGTCTGGCTACTACCACCAAATCAGCGTATCGACTATGTGGAGCCATGCAACTACTGTAACGCGTTATAACTTGGAGGTTGCAATAACGCAACTTGCTAGATAGCTAACTAACTAACATTTGCGCTAGCAAGTCAGTAGCTAGCTGTAGTTAACGTTAGCCCACCTCAATCAACACAAGTTAATGCTAGCTAAGTGTCAGCACCCCAAATATATAGCTAAGCAGTCCAAAAGTTAGAGAAAATATTCTAGACTCGTTGAAAAGCAAATAATTGTATGATGCTGCTGCTAACTAGTTAGCCAGTCTAACCCAACGTTAGTGGCTTTCCATCCCCCCCTCCCGTTTCAGCATTTTGGCAAACTCAGTGCGCATGGCCACTGAATGAAAAAATGGAAACGTTGCAAAGCGAGTTGGTGTAGAAAACGCACATCCACCCATTCCGCCACAAGGGCAGAGAGAGAGGAGCAGATAGGATTCTCACACAGAAAGCAGAATGATCTAACTTTCCGACAGCTACTTTACAGACAGTCAACAAGCAGCTGAAAGCTCCGCAACACAACAATAATGCCTACAGCACGCCATACTAGAAAGACAGGCCGTGTCAGCCATAACCAGGCCACTGGAGCCGACTAAACTTTTCCTTTAAATCTCTGATTTCTCCCGTCCTAACATGGTCACTCTCTCTCGACCCCTGCCTACAGCGAACTGAAGCCGGAACTCATCGAAATCTGGCACAGTGAAGTGTAAAATCAGTTTGGCATGTACCTGTTTTTGTCGTCAAATCAAACGACCTCTCGAATTCAGCAGAATTCTTCAGCAGTCCCCTAGCCAGACAATGAAATCAAAACGTCCGATCATCAATTCTAATCATGATCGTGACGTATTCGCAGACAGGAGCCAATTAGATCTCGAAATCAGGGCTGTGACATTCATTCCAGTGATGTCCCGCCCAGTGGTGACTTTGTTGGGAGGAGAGAGAGAGAAAACATTTATACCGAACAAAAATATAAACGAACTGAACTGAAATAAAGATCCCAGAAATTTTCCATACGCTCAAAAAGCTTGTTTCTCAACCCAAAGAAATGGCACAAATTTGTTTACATCCAATTTGTTTAAATCCCTGTTAGTGAGCAAATCCCCCTTTGCCAAGATAATCCATCCACTTGACAGGTGTGGCATATCAATAAACTGATTAAACAGCATGATCATTACACTGGTGCACCTTGTGCTGGGGACAATAAAAGGACACTCTAAAATGTGACTCGTTTCAGGAAGCTAGGCGTATGTCGCACATCAATACTTCACAGGAGAGGCATTTGAAAGTAAACATTTATTATGTATCAAAATGTGGTTTTGTTTTTGGCAGAAATGCCTTCAGGAACATGTGAACTTTAATGTGCCTTAATAAGAAACTTATATGCCATCTGTAAATACGAATACAATTGTTAAATTACCAGCCTAGTTGGTTTAACCACAGAAAAAGACAGGAACCTTCCCGCTAGCCATGATTGGCTGAGATAATGGGTGGGCTGGACATGCTGAGACATGAGTTCAGATTGGTCAGCCATGTAGCATCTTCTGTCTATAACATGAGCTGCTCAGTATGTGTAGGTAATCCTTTCTAATGCAGCTTTTTTGAAAGATATCACGAAGAACTTCAACAAAGAAGTTGACAGAGTTTTGAAATCAGTGGAATGCCCGGTGGAAGTATGATGGCTAAGGAGATGGAGAAAATTCTGGTGTTTGATTGCAAATATTATGCGGAGGGAGTCGAAAAGAGAACACCTGTCTCCGGATTACATCTTCAAATTAAGGGCAACCATGGCATCCGTGACAGAGAGGGAGAAGCGTTCATCCATGTATACGGTTATGACAGTCTAGCTAGCTACATTATCCGATATTGTTTGTTTCTAATTTTGTCAAAGTCATTTTCATTGCTAGTTAAAGCAAACTGTTGGCTCGCTAGCTAACGTTACGTGTATGATCTGTGTAGTAATATTATTAGTATCTCAGAAAGCGATTTGCATTGCTAGCTATAGCCTAATGTTAGCTAGCTAGCTGATGTTGAACCTAGTTGGTTAAATTTAGTTACCTGCAAATTCATGCATGGTAATTGAATCAGTTATATAACCCATTGCCCTCTATGGTTGTGAGGTCTGGGGTCCACTCACCAACCAAGAATTCACAAAATGAGACAAACATCAAACTGAGACTTTATGCAGAATTCTGCAAAAACATCCCCCGTGTACAACTTAAAACACCAAATAATGCATGCAGAGTAGAATTAGGACAATTCCCGCTAATGATCAAAATCTAGAAAAGAGCAATTCAATTCTACAACCACCTAAATCTAAGTGATTCTCAAACCTTCTGGTCCTTATGGCCCTTTCCTCTGGTCCTTATGGCCCTTTCCTCTGGTCCTTATGGCCCTTTCCTCTGGTCCTTATGGCCCTTTCCTCTGGTCCTTATGGCCCTTTCCTCTGGTCCTTATGGCCCTTTCCTCTGGTCCTTATGGCCCTTTCCTCTGGTCCTTATGGCCCTTTCCTCTGGTCCTTATGGCCCTTTCCTCTGGTCCTTATGGCCCTTTCCTCTGGTCCTTATGGCCCTTTCCTCTGGTCCTTATGGCCCTTTCCTCTGGTCCTTATGGCCCTTTCCTCTGGTCCTTATGGCCCTTTCCTCTGGTCCTTATGGCCCTTTCTCTGGTCCTTATGGCCCTTTCCTCTGGTCCTTATGGCCCTTTCCTCTGGTCCTTATGGCCCTTTCCTCTGGTCCTTATGGCCCTTTCCTCTGGTCCTTATGGCCCTTTCCTCTGGTCCTTATGGCCCTTTCCTCTGGTCCTTATGGCCCTTTCCTCTGGTCCTTATGGCCCTTTCCTCTGGTCCTGGGGCTCTGCTCACAAAAACAAACAGACCCCACAGAGCCCCAGGAAAGCAACACAATTAGACCCAACCAAATCATGAGAAAACTAAAAGATAATTACTTGACAAATTTGAAAGAATCAACAACAAAAAAACAGATCAAACTGGAATGTTATTTGGCCTGTAGTATCGAGTCAATGCTGGTAATTATTGTTGTCAAACAAAGAGTCCGCTTAGGCTGTACTTTGATTATAAGTTTTATTTATATCACAAGATGTCAGCATAAGTTTACAGACCCTGCAGGGGCTGGAGAACAGTGTCCAAAGATAATATGTCTGTTCTAACCTCCTCTTTGTCTAGCCTATACTTATAAGGTATGCAAAAATATGGGTTGCTCCCTCTGCTGTCCAATCACCTGTCTCCCCTGGGGCGTCACCCTAAAAACGGCTCTTTTTGAACTAAAATAAACATCCCCTCAGGTTCCACTAGAATACATTCACCAAATCATAATCTTAATACACTACAGGCCCTAAACAGAGAGTACACAGTGGCAGAATACCTGATGAATGTAACTGAATCAAAACAAAGGAAAGTTTTGACTATGTACAGACTCAGTGAGCATGGCCTTGCTATTGAGAGAGTTCGCCATAGCCATCGGCAGACCTGGCTCTCAAGAGATCATTGTATTATAAGCATATTTCATAGTGAGATTTGCACATTGTAGCCTATAGCAGGTAAATTATGATGATAGGGTGACAGGCTTGCTGTGCGTAGTTTCAGGTGAGGTGGGTTTGAACAGATCAGCCTT